ACACGAGGTGAGACACGGAGACACTGAGACACAGAGAGAGACAGAGAGAGACACGGGGTGAGACACGGGGTGAGACAGAGAGAGACACAGAGACACGGAGACACGGGGACACGAGGTGAGACACGGAGACACTGAGACACAGAGAGAGACACAGAGAGAGACACAGAGAGAGACAGAGACACGGGGTGAGACAGGGAGACACAGAGAGAGACAGAGAGAGACACAGAGACACGGGGTGAGACACGGGGTGAGACACAGAGAGAGACACAGAGACACGAGGTGAGACACGGAGTGAGACACGGAGTGAGAAACAGCGACACGGAGACACGGGGTGAGACACGGGGTGAGACCCAGAGAGAGACACGGAGAGAGACACGGGGTGAGACGCGGGGTGAGACACGGGGTGAGACACGGAGACAGGGGGTGAGACACAGACACGGAGACACGGGGTGAGACACAGAGACACGGAGAGAGACACAGAGACACGGGGTGAGACAGAGACACTGGGTGAGACACAGAGACACGGAGACACGGGGTGAGACACGGGGTGAGACAGAGACACGGGGTGAGACACAGAGACACGGGGTGAGACAGAGACACGGGGTGAGACACAGAGACACAGAGACACGGGGTGAGACACAGAGACACAGAGACACGGGGTGAGACACAGAGACACGGAGACACGGGGTGAGACACAGAGACACGAGGTGAGACACAGACACGGGGTGAGACACAGAGACACGGACAGAGACACAGAGACACGGGGTGAGACAGAGACACGGGGTGAGACACAGAGACACGGGGTGAGACACAGAGACACGGAGACACGGAGAGAGACACAGACACAGAGACACGGGGTGAGACACAGAGACACGGGGTGAGACAGAGACACGGGGTGAGACACAGAGACACGGGGTCAGACACAGAGACACGGAGAGAGACACAGAGACACGGGGTGAGACAGAGACACGGGGTGAGACACAGAGACACAGAGACACGGGGTGAGACAGAGACACGGGGTGAGACACAGAGACACGGGGTGAGACAGAGACACGGGGTGAGACACAGAGACACGGAGACACGGGGTGAGACACAGAGACACGGGGTGAGACACAGAGACACGGAGAGAGACACAGAGACACGGGGTGAGACAGAGACACGGGGTGAGACACAGAGACACGGAGACACGGGGTGAGACACAGAGACACGGGGTGAGACAGAGACACAGGGTGAGACACGGAGACACGAGGTGAGACACGAAGACACAGAGACACGAAGACACAGAGAGAGACACAGAGACACGGGGTGAGACAGACACGGGGTGAGACACAGAGACACAGAGACACGGGGTGAGACACAGATACACGGAGACACGGGGTGAGACACAGAGACACGGGGTGAGACAGACACGGGGTGAGACACAGCGACACGGGGTGAGACACAGAGACACGGGGTGAGACAGAGACACGGGGTGAGACACAGAGACACGGGGTGAGACACAGAGACACGGGGTGAGACACAGAGACACGGGGTGAGACACAGAGACACGGGGTGAGACACGGAGAGAGACACAGAGACACGGGGTGAGACACAGAGACACAGGGTGAGACAGAGACACAGGGTGAGACACGGAGACACGAGGTGAGACAGGAAGACACAGAGACACGAAGACACAGAGAGAGACACAGAGACACGGAGAGAGACACGGAGAGACAGGTTGGGAGACACAGCGGGGAGGTGTCTGGGTGAGTGATGGTGGTGAGTGATGGTGGTGAGTGACGGTGGTGAGTGTGAGTGAGTGATGGTGGTGAGTGTGAGTGGGTGATGGTGGTGAGTGACGGTGGTGAGTGTGAGTGAGTGATGGTGGTGAGTGTGAGTGATGGTGGTGAGTGTGAGTGAGTGATGGTGGTGAGTGTGGGTGATGGTGGTGAGTGTAGGTGATGGTGGTGAGTGTGGGTGATGGTGGTGAGTGTGAGTGAGTGATGGTGGTGAGTGTGAGTGATGGTGGTGAGTGAGAGTGGGTGATGGTGGTGAGTGTGAGTGAGTGATGGTGGTGAGTGTGAGTGAGTGATGGTGGTGAGTGTGAGTGAGTGATGGTGGTGAGTGTGAGTGAGTGATGGTGGTGAGTGTGAGTGATGGTGGTGAGTGTGAGTGATGGTGGTGAGTGTGAGTGGGTGATGGTGGTGAGTGTGAGTGAGTGGTGGTGGTGAGTGTGAGTGAGTGATGGTGGTGAGTGTGAATGAGTGATGGTGGTGTGAGTGTGGATGACGGTGGTGAGGGTGAGTGAGTGATGGTGGTGAGTGTGAGTGAGTGATGGTGGTGAGTGTGAGTGAGTGAGTGATGGTGGTGAGTGTGAGTGATGGTGGTGAGTGTGAGTGATGGTGGTGAGTGTGAGTGGGTGATGGTGGTGAGTGTGAGTGAGTGGTGGTGGTGAGTGTGAGTGAGTGATGGTGGTGAGTGTGAGTGAGTGATGGTAGTGAGTGTGAGTGATGGTGGTGAGTGTGAATGAGTGATGGTGGTGTGAGTGTGGATGACGGTGGTGAGGGTGAGTGAGTGATGGTGGTGAGTGTGAGTGAGTGATGGTGGTGAGTGTGAGTGAGTGAGTGATGGTGGTGAGTGTGAGTGATGGTGGTGAGTGTGAGTGGGTGATGGTGGTGAGTGTGAGTGAGTGGTGGTGGTGAGTGTGAGTGAGTGATGGTGGTGAGTGTGAGTGAGTGATGGTGGTGAGTGTGAGTGAGTGATGGTGGTGAGTGTGAGTGAGTGGTGGTGGTGAGTGTGAGTGAGTGATGGTGGTGAGTGTGAGTGAGTGATGGTGGTGAGTGTGAGTGAGTGATGGTGGTGAGTGTGAGTGTGGGTTATGGTGGTGAGTGTGAGTGAGTGACGGTGGTGAGTGATGGTGGTGAGTGTGATTGAGTGACGGTGGTGAGTGTGAGTGGGTGATGGTGGTGAGTGTGGGTGAGTGATGGTGGTGAGTGTGGGTGGTGAGTGTGAGTGAGTGAGTGATGGTGGTGAGTGTGAGTGAGTGACGGTGGTGAGTGAGTGTGAGTGAGTGACGGTGGTGAGTGTGAGTGAGTGACGGTGGTGAGTGTGAGTGAGTGACGGTGGTGAGTGTGAGTGAGTGACGGTGGTGAGTGTGAGTGAGTGAGTGATGGTGGTGAATGTGAGTGAGTGATGGTGGTGAGTGTGAGTGAGTGATGGTGGTGAGTGTGAGTGAGTGAGTGATGGTGGTGAGTGTGAGTGGGTGATGGTGGTAAGTGTGAGTGAGTGATGGTGGTGAGTGTGAGTGAGTGGTGGTGGTGAGTGTGAGTGAGTGATGGTGGTGAGTGTGAGTGAGTGATGGTGGTGAGTGTGAGTGAGTGATGGTGGTGAGTGTGAGTGAGTGGTGGTGGTGAGTGTGAGTGAGTGATGGTGGTGAGTGTGAGTGAGTGATGGTGGTGAGTGTGAGTGAGTGATGGTGGTGAGTGTGAGTGTGGGTTATGGTGGTGAGTGTGAGTGAGTGACGGTGGTGAGTGATGGTGGTGAGTGTGATTGAGTGACGGTGGTGAGTGTGAGTGGGTGATGGTGGTGAGTGTGGGTGAGTGATGGTGGTGAGTGTGGGTGGTGAGTGTGAGTGAGTGAGTGAGTGATGGTGGTGAGTGTGAGTGAGTGACGGTGGTGAGTGAGTGTGAGTGAGTGACGGTGGTGAGTGTGAGTGAGTGACGGTGGTGAGTGTGAGTGAGTGACGGTGGTGAGTGTGAGTGAGTGACGGTGGTGAGTGTGAGTGAGTGAGTGATGGTGGTGAATGTGAGTGAGTGATGGTGGTGAGTGTGAGTGAGTGATGGTGGTGAGTGTGAGTGAGTGAGTGATGGTGGTGAGTGTGAGTGAGTGATGGTGGTGAGTGTGAGTTACGGTGGTGAGTGTGAGTGAGTGACGGTGGTGAGTGACGGTGGTGAGTGTTAATTATTAATGAGGTGTGGGCCTCACGTGGAGCGACGTCATGCGCGGGACGGACACAGACATTTCCCGGTGATTCTGCTCGACAGGCGACCTTGGCCGTGGTGAGCTGGTGAGCTGGTGGGCTGGTGAGCTGGTGAGCTGGTGAGCTGGTGAGCTGGTGAGCTGGTGGGCTGGTGGGCTGGTGAGCTGGTGAGCTGGTGAGCTGGTGAGCTGGTGAGCTGGTGGGCTGGTGAGCTGGTGGGCTGGTGAGCTGGTGAGCTGGTGAGCTGGTGGGCTGGTTAGCTGGTGAGCTGGTGAGCTGGTGAGCTGGTGGGCTGGTGAGCTGGTGGGTTGGTGAGCTGGTGGGCTGGTGAGCTGGTGAGCTGGTGAGCTGGTGAGCTGGTGGGCTGGTGAGCTGGTGGGCTGGTTAGCTGGTGAGCTGGTGAGCTGGTGGGCTGGTTAGCTGGTGAGCTGGTGGGCTGGTGAGCTGGTTAGCTGGTGAGCTGGTGGGCTGGTGAGCTGGTTAGCTGGTGAGCTGGTGAGCTGGTGGGCTGGTGAGCTGGTGGGCTGGTGAGCTGGTGAGCTGGTGGGCTGGTGAGCTGGTGGGCTGGTGAGCTGGTGGACTGGTGAGCTGGTGAGCTGGTGGGCTGGTGGGCTGGTGAGCTGGTGAGCTGGTGAGCTGGTGAGCTGGTGGGCTGGTGAGCTGGTGGGCTGGTGGGCTGGTGAGCTGGTGAGCTGGTGGGCTGGTGGGCTGGTGAGCTGGTGGGCTGGTGGGCTGGTGAGCTGGTGAGCTGGTGGGCTGGTGGGCTGGTGGGCTGGTGAGCTGGTGAGCTGGTGAGCTGGTGGGCTGGTGGGCTGGTGGGCTGGTGAGCTGGTGGGCTGGTGAGCTGGTGAGCTGGTGGGCTGGTGGGCTGGTGAGCTGGTGGGCTGGTGGGCTGGTGAGCTGGTGAGCTGGTGGGCTGGTGAGCTGGTGAGCTGGTGGGCTGGTGAGCTGGTGAGCTGGTGGGCTGGTGGGCTGGTGGGCTGGTGAGCTGGTGAGCTGGTGGGCTGGTGGGCTGGTGGGCTGGTGGGTTGGTGAGCTGGTGAGCTGGTGAGCTGGTGGGCTGGTGGGCTGGTGAGCTGGTGAGCTGGTGGGCTGGTGAGCTGGTGAGCGATGGTGCTGCGGGTGGACGAGATGATGGAGGTGGTGTCGACGCTGGCTCGCCAGCGCGGGGTGCAAGTGGCGCTTAGCCAGGCCGGCAAGGGCGCCATCGTCACGGGCGGCATCGCTCTGCTGGGAGGACTCATCGCCGGTCCCGTGGGCATCGCCGCCGGTCAGTCGCTCAATCACCCACTCACTCACTCAGTTACTCACTCAGTCACCCACTCACCCACTCACTCACTCACCCACTCACCCACTCACTCACTCACCCACTCACTCACTCACCCACTCAGTCACTCACCCACTCAGTCACTCAATCACCCACTCAGTCACTCAATCACTCACCCACTCACTCACCCACTCACCCACTCACTCACTCACTTACTCAATCACTCACTCACTCAGTTACTCACTTACTTACTCACCCAGTTACTCACTCAGTCACCCACTCACTCACTTACTTACTCACCCAGTTACTCACCTACTCACTCACTCAGTCACTCAATCACTCACCCACTCACTCACCCACTCACTCAGTCACTCACCCACTCACCCACTCACCCACTTACTCACCCACCCACCCACCCACTCACCCACTCACTCACCCACCCACCCACCCACTCACCCACCCACCGACCCACTCACCCACCCACCCACTCACTTACCCACTCACCCACTCACCCACCCACTCACTCACTCACCCACCCACTCACTCACCCACCCACTCACTCACCCACTCACTCACCCACTCACCCACTCACTCACCCACCCACCCAACCACCCACCCACCCACTCACTCACCCACCCACCCACTCACCCACTCACCCACCCACTCACTCACCCACTCACCCACCCACTCACTCACCCACTCACCCACCCACCCACTCACTCACCCACCCACCCACTCACCCACTCACTCACTCACCCACCCACTCACCCACTCACCCACCCACTCACCCACACACTCACCCACTCACCCACCCACTCACCCACCCACCCACCCACTCACCCACTCACTCACTCACCCACCCACTCACCCACTCACCCATCCACTCACCCACTCACCCACACACTCACCCACTCACCCACCCACCCACCCACTCACCCACCCACTCACTCACCCACTCACTCACTCACCCACCCACCCACCCACTCACCCACCCACTCACCCATCCACCCACCCACCCATCCACTCACCCACTCACTCACCCACCCACCCACTCACCCACCCACCCACCCATCCACTCACCCACTCACTCACCCACTCACTCACTCACCCACCCACCCACTCACCCACTCACCCACCCACCCACTCACTCACTCACCCACCCACCCACCCAACCACCCACCCACCCACTCACTCACCCACCCACCCACCCACTCACTCACTCACCCACCCACTCACTCACCCACCCACCCACTCATCCACCCACTCACCCACTCACTCACTCACCCACCCACCCACTCACCCACCCACTCACCCACTCACCCACTCACTCACTCACTCACCCACTCACCCACTCACCCACCCACTCACCCACCCACTCACCCATCCACCCACCCACCCATCCACTCACCCACTCACTCACCCACCCACCCACCCACTCACCCACTCACCCACCCACTCACCCACTCACCCTCCCACTCACTCACTCACCCACTCACTCACCCATCCACTCACCCACTCACCCACCCACCCACTCACTCACTCACCCACCCAATCACCCACTCACTCACTCACCCACTCACCCACCCACTCACCCATCCACCCACCCACCCACTCACCCACACACTCACTCACCCACCCACTCACCCACCCACCCACCCGCCCTCCCACCCCCGCCCGCCAGGTGGCGCTCTGGGCGGCCTGGTGGGCATGGCGGTGACCCGCGGGACCTTCCGCCCGCTGCACGAGGTCCTGGCCGAGCTCCCCGAGCCGGAGCGCCGGCGGCTCGCCGAGGCGGCGGCCGGCGCCGTGGGCGGCCTGGAGTGGAGCGACGCGGCACAGCTGCTAGCGCTGCTCGCCGCACGGGCACCACCGGAGACCTTGGGGCCGCCGTGTTGGGCGCCGTGCTGGAGCAGCTGACGGGGCGGCTCGGGGCCCAGGTGGAGAGCTACCCGGACTGACGGGGGCGGGCAGGGGTGGACGTCGGGGGGACGTCGGGAGGACGTCGGGGGCGGACGTTGGGGGGGACGTCGGGGGGACGTCGGGCGGGTGAATGTCGTCGTCGCTGGAGCAGGCTGCTAGGACGAGGGTCTGGAGATTGGTGGAGAGCCATTGCTGCTGTGTGGTGGTGGTGGTGGTCGTGGTGGTCGTGGTGGTGGTGGTGGTCGTGGTGGTGGTAGTGGTGGTGGTGGTAGTGGTGGTGGTATTGGTTGTAGTGGTGGTGGTAGTGGTGGTAGTAGTGGTGGTGGTGGTAGTAGTGGTGGTGGAGGTGGTGGTAGTGGTAGTGGTGGTAGTGGTGGTGGTAGTAGTGGTGGTGGTGGTAGTGGTGGTGGTAGTAGTGGTGGTGGAGGTGGTAGTGGTGGTAATGGTGGTGGTAGTGGTGGTGGAGGTGGTGGTAGGGGTGGTGGTGGTAGTGGTGGTGGTGGTAGTGGTGGTGGTCATGGTGGTGGTAGTGGTGGTAGTGGTGGTGGTAGTAGTGGTGGTGGTAGTGGTGGTGGTAGTAGTGGTGGTGGTGGTAGTGGTGGTAGTGGTGGTGGTGGTAGTGGTGGTGGTAGTAGTGGTAGTAGTGGTGGTGGTAGTGGTGGTAGTGGTGGTGGTAGTAGTGGTGGTGGAGGTGGTAGTGGTGGTAATGGTGGTGGTAGTAGTGGTGGTAGTGGTGGTGGAGGTGGTGGTAGGGGTGGTGGTGGTAGTGGTGGTGGTGGTAGTGGTGGTGGTAGTAGTGGTGGTAATGGTGGTGGTGGTAGTGGTGGTGGTAGTGGTGGTGGTAGTAGTGGTGGTAGTGGTGGTGGTCATGGTGGTGGTAGTGGTGGTAGTGGTGGTGGTAGTAGTGGTGGTGGTAGTGGTGGTGGTAGTAGTGGTGGTGGTGGTAGTGGTGGTAGTGGTGGTGGTGGTAGTGGTGGTGGTAGTAGTGGTAGTAGTGGTGTTGGTAGTGGTAGTGGTGGTGGTAGTAGTAGTGGTAGTGGTGGTAGTGGTGGTAGTGGTGGTGGTAGTGGTAGTAGTAGTGGTAGTAGTGGTGGTAGTGGTGGTGGTAGTGGTAGTAGTGGTAGTGGTGGTGGTAGTGGTAGTGGTGGTGGTAGTGGTGGTGGTAGTAGTGGTAGTGGTGGTGGTAGTAGTGGTGGTGGTAGTGGTGGTGGTGGTAGTGGTAGTGGTGGTGGTAGTGGTGGTAGTAGTGGTGGTAGTGGTAGTAGTAGTGGTAGTAGTGGTGGTGGTGGTAGTGGTGGTAGTAGTGGTGGTAGTGGTAGTAGTGGTGGTAGTGGTAGTAGTGGTGGTAGTGGTGGTGGTAGTGGTGGTGGTAGTAGTGGTAGTAGTGGTGGTAGTGGTGGTGGTAGTAGTAGTGGTGGTGTTTTCCTGTTATGCCCGCCCGCCCGCTCGCTCGCCCAATCACCCGCTCGCGCTGTGTATCACACAGCGCGCCTTAGTGAGGGTAGCCTTGTGCCAGCCACACAGGGACAGCTGCCGCTGGGGGTGCCCCTAGGCTAGTCCACACTCAGCAACAGCAGCAACAGCAGCCGCCATAGCTACCCCTCACTGTGAAACTACTGCAGGCTGTCTCTATGATAGTACAGCAGCAGCTACCCCTCACTGTGAAACTACTGCAGGTTCTCTGTGATGTACAGCAGCAACCATCGCCACCCCTCACTGTGAAACTACTGCAGGCTATCTCTGTGATGTACAGCAACAACAGCAATCGCCACCCCTCACTGTGAAGCTACTGCAGGCTGTGTCTGTGATGTACAGCAGCAACAACAGCCATCGCTACCCCTCACTGTGAAACTACTGCAGGCTATCTCTGTGATGTACAGCAACAACAGCAATTATCCCTACCCCTACTGGCAGCAGACTGATGCACAGGGACAGCTGCCACTGGGCGTGCCCCTGATGCTGCTAACGATGATGATGCTGCTAACGATGATGATGCTGCTGATGATGATGCTGCTGATGATGATTGCCATTGCTCAGAGGGTGCTGTCGTGACTGCAGCAGTGAGCGTGCGCATGTGTGCGCGTGTGAGAGCTCCTCCGGCGGGCAAGGCTGCGATGGCTGGGTCATGTAGCCCGCATACCCAGCCGCCGCATGCCCAAACAGCTTTTGTTCGGCCGGATCGAGGGGGCTAAACGGGCGCGGCACGGGCTAGAGAAGAGATGGAGTGATGTGGTACAGGAGGACGTGGAGCTGAGTGGACTTGCCGATGACCGGTACCAGCGGTGTCAAGATCGGCCTCCGTGGAGGAGGCTCGTGAAGGACGCTACTGGGCACTTGGAGGCAGTCGCCCTCCAACAGCAACGGAGGGCGGAGGAGCGACGCTCACAACAACGAGCGGAGCGCCGGGTGGCTAAATCACAGCAGGTTGGCACAGTAGGGGGCACAGGTGGTGCATCGGCCAGTCATCTCAGTCAGTCGACCCGTGGCACCTGCTGGGTCTGCCCCGTGACCTCCTGCCAGCGGGCGTTCGACACTTCACGTGGCCTTAACGTGCACCTAGCCTGGCACAAGCGTCGTGGTGACGTCACCGTCACTTAGTGGCGAATGGCGGTTGTTGTGTGAGTTAATGTATCTCTATGGGTCTCTATGAGTCGATGTATCTCTATGGGTCTGTGGGTCTCTTAAGTCCACTCACCCATCCACCCACTCAAACCACTCACCCACCCACTCAGCCACCCACTCTCCCACTCACCCGCTCACCCACCCACTCACCCACCCACTCGCTCACTCACCCACTCACTCACGTACCCACTCACTCACTCACCCACTCACTCACGTACCCACTCACTCACCCGCTCACCCACTCACTCACGTACCCACTCACTCACTCACCCACTCACTCACCCGCTCACTCTCCCACTCAGCCAGCCACCCACTCACTCTCCCACTCAGCCACTCACGTACCCACTCACTCACTCTCCCACTCATCCACTCACCCACCCACTCACGCTCTCCCACTCATCTACTCACCCACCCATCCACTCACCCACCCATCCACTCACCCACTCACTCGACCACCCACCCACCAACTCCACCACCCACTCACCCACTCACCAACTCGACCACCCACTCACCCACCCACCAACTCGACCACCCACCAACTCGCCCACCCACCGACTCACCGGTTAACCGGTCCGGAGGCCTTTGAACGTCGTCGCGAGGTTTGACACGCAACGTTTGCAGCAGAGCACGGTGTGAAGGTTTGGTTTTGATTAAATAAATATATAAATACAGTTCCCCCTCCCCCAGTACACGCGTTAGTGCAGTGTGTGTATAGTGTAGTGTGTGTAGTGTGTGTATAGTGTAGTGTGTGTAGTGTATGTAGCGTGTGTATAGTATAGTGTATGTAGTGTGTGTATAGTATAGTGTGTGTATAGTGTAGTGTGTGTAGCGTAGTGTGTGCAGTGTAGTGTGTGTATTGTGTGTAGTGTATAGTGCAGTGTGTGTAGTGTAGTGTAGTAGGTATAGTGTAGTAGGTATAGTGTAGTGTGTAGTATAGTGTGTAGTGTATTGTGTATAGTATAGCATAGTGTGTGCAGTGTAGTTAGTGTAGTATAGTGTGTAGTGTAGTGTGTATAGTGTAGTGTATAGTGTAGTGGGGGAGCAGTGTGGTAGGCTCTAAACGAAACGTGTGGACGGACATTCGATCAATTGTAGCGGAATTAATGCACAGGCTGGGAAGACGAGCGAGTGGCTTTGTAGTTTGGCGGTGGACCAAGTAACTCACAAAGTCACCACGGCCACTGTGCCAGGCTAGGTACACGTTGAGGCCGTCACGTTGAAGCCGTCACGTGAAACGTCGAACGCCCCCGCTGGCAGGTCGACTGAGATGAGTGGCTGATGCACCACCTGTGCCCCCTATTGTGCCAACCTGCTGTGCTTTAGCCACCCGGCGCTCAGCTCGTTGTTGTGAGCGTCGCTCCTCTGCCACCCTCCATTGTTGTTGTTGGAGGGCGACTGCCTCCAACTGCCCAGTAGCGTCCTTCACGAGCCTCCTCCACAGAGGGCCGATCTTGACACCGCTGGTACCGGTCATCGGCAAGTCCACTCAGCTCCACATTCCTCCTGTACCGCATCAGCTCCATCTCTTCTCTAGCCCGTGTCGTGCCCGTTTAGGCCCAGCTGCCCCAGTAGCAGCAGCAGCAGCATCAGCGACCTTCACGAGCCTCCCCCCCCCTACCACAGAGGGCCGATCTTGACACCGCTGGTACCGGTCATCGGCAAGTCCACTCAGCCCCACGCCGACGGGTTGGAAACGACGGAGACACGAGAGGCGAGGGTACAGGGAGGGGGTCTAAGGCGACGAGGTTGTGGGCCGAGGTGACGGTGACGGTGGGGGTGGGTTATGGAAGGGTTTGATGGCGAGGGAGGTGTAGCGACATTCCGAGACCGAACGGGGCGCCTCCTGGCAGGCTGACTACGCGAGGGGAGAGGTCCGGAGCGAAAGCCGAGAAAGTCCAAAGAATGTTTGGGTGTCGTCGTCGTCGTCGTCGGAGAAGCTGGCTCGGAGGAGAAGCTAAATGAGGAGGATGAGCGCTTCGTGAGGGGAGATGTAGACAAGAAGGGGCCGCCCCCGCCCCCCCGGGTGAAACACCGGCGCTGCGACGGGTCAAGGAGGCGGTGATACGAAAGGGAGCCCCCCCACGAGGGCGAACGTGAAGAGAGATGGCAATCGGAGGCAGGCGAATTGGAGAGAGTGAAGGGCGGTAACGAGAGGGGGTCGGTTTCTGTGGAGCGGGGCGGGGCGGGGGGCGGGGGGTGGGGGAAACCAGACTGGGGTAGAGTGGGGGAGGGGTAGAGGGAGCACGTGCGGATGGAGCCGCCGAGGCGCTCGGAGAAGGGTCGCGGGGCGACGCGGTACGACAGAAACGGCCCGAGCCGGTCGAGGAGTTTGGGAGAGGTAAGCGGGGGACCGCGAGCGGACACACGGCGGCTGCTGCGTGCCGGCAGGGCGGAGGAACCGGGGCAAGGGTCACGGAAGACCTCGCCGGGAGGCCCCCTGGCTACCCTCTGGTGGGCTCTAGAAGGGAGGCGCGGCCTAGGGCGGAGCCAGGCCGCGCCGAGTAGAACAAAAGCAGCGGAGAGCGGGAGCTCCGGGCTGCCGCTCCTGGGAGCGGACTCGCCTCGTCTTCGCTGCCCGGCAATTGCGCGGCCGGACAGTCGTTGGCTGTCTGGGTCGACGCCG